AGTTTTCGATTATCGGTGTTTACGCAGTTTAGCCCATGTTGGATGGAGCGAAAGGGTTAGTAACGTGGAGGTAAGCCGTCGTGTGTTTGGAAGTCTCTCAGGCATAAACCTGCTAGCATACCGAATTCAGATTACTAGGCTTCGGTGGAGAGCGCACGTATTGCGTATGCCCAGCCATCGTCTACCGCACCGCGCTTTATTAGCTGTAGCTAATCCGGGCTGGAGGAAACCACGCGGAGGTCAACAGATGACGTGATTCGAGGCATGAAGAAATGCACAGAGCCATTAGGTAGAGTAGGTGTCTCTCGCCTTCCAGGTTGGGGTCCGAAAGACTCCACAACTGGTTGGTTGGAAACACTGAAGGATATGGCAGTGAACCGAGAGCAGTGGCGTTCTTGTTGTCGTTTCTTATCAGGTCAGAATGCTTGAAACGGTATGTATGCAGAGTTCGATTGCGTACTCTGTATGTTGACCATAGTGGCTCATCTTCTTCTCCCTTCCTCAAAATAGATCCAACCCCTGTCCACCTTAAATTTTACCACTAACCTTGTATGCATTGTGAGTTTGGCAGCGGTCAGTGAAGTTCGCTTCACGGTATTTCGCTGTATGATGATGATGATGATGAGTCATCTCTGAGTGTATGAGGCTTGTGATGCTTGTGCATCGATGTGCCAGTCTTCGGAGGTATCCCGAATAATTATATCGAAGTTGAGCGGGGGGGCCTCTCACATTCAACACATCGTCAGTAAGCTTCGATGACTTTCTTTTCATATCCGTAAACTTCATCAGTTTCGTATTCCACAATCAATTATTTCCAACTTTGTGTATCAGTGTGGTTTCCCTGTTTTACTTCCGTGTTCACCTGTTATTTTTCTCAATCTCCTGAAGAAAGATTTTAATTTCCTTCGACATGGACTGACCATAATTAGTAGTGTCTCTTCAATCCCACTAGAGGAGTTGATAACTAACCTATGCGAACGTCATCTGAATGCATGTGAAAAGTTTACGCATAAGATTCTCATCGACTGCACACATCCGCTACACACTAACCTAAGTTCCTGTTGTTCCCATCCCTCAACTAGATCACAATATCGTTGTGTTCCATCTATAATAAACAATTATCGTAACTCCACAGTACCCTCATTAGAACGTATTCTTGTTAACAAAGAACAGGTTTTCACGGAATTTGTTAACAGTTTTGGAACTTAAATCGCTTTTTTCACTGTTATTTTCATTTTCTCCCTTGCTCCAAACTGTATAATTTTTAACTGAAATGTGAGCTTCACGCTTGCAGAAGTTATTACAATACAATACAATATAATAACTGTGGTCAAACATTATCTCAGCAGCTGGCAAGATATTGAGGAAATTGGAAATCGTTTATTTTTTTCGGGATAAAACGAACTCGAACCATGGAGACTCTGGTTGATCTGGTTGAGTGTTTTGCACAGTGTTCCATCACTCAATGTCGTCACTTCCTACAAAATCCGCATTACGAAATCACACATTTAATGATTGGGTAAACTGTGTTACGCCTGTCTGCTCCCCAAACCTATACTTCATCTCCTATTACCATACATAATTTTACTAAATTTTTAATTACACTTAAACTTCGCTGTGGACTGAGTTGTTGTGATTTTTCATCGTTATTCTTACGCGTTTTTACGAATACAATTGATATGACAGTGCGCCTGGTCCTCTGTTGTCCGCTCATTGCGACCAGTCAATTCCACAAAAATGTGTTCGTTCGGATCGGTACTCAACGGAACCCCTGGTATTGACAATTATGTCAGTCTGTTTATTCATACGTGAGACCTCACACGAAGAGAATCCCGACCCCGCCTCCCAGTGCAAGGTGCCGGCAAATACGCTCACCAAAAGTATCGGTAGATATCCTCGTGGGATATGGCGTGAGATAGCAGCACGCGGATGTCACTCGATACTATCACTTGCATCACTGACTGAGATCTCACCAAAGTCTGTTTCACCTTTTCATGCGACGAAGTTCCAGCCCATGTCCAAGACAGAATCTACGGTCATTCGGGTGTGTTGACAGGGGCAATCCAGTGGGAGGAAAGTGGGCGGCAGTGTTAGCGGCAACTTGCTCGATGGTGATGATGGTGGTGGTGGTAGTGGTGGTGGTGGTGGACCTGAGTTGGTATCTTGTACTGCTCAGACGCTTCCGTCCTGTTTTCTTTACTTAGTTGAATGAGTGACCGCGCGTTGACATGCCGATGTGTTAACGACTGTGAACAGATTTGCTCAGTTTGACAACGTACCGGCAGGACATTTGTGAGTACCACATCTGACCGGGGTTTCTTTTTTGTGAGCATTTCAGGTCGTTGCCATGCGGATAAACAATCGCAATCACCACCGTGTAAATCATTGGCAGTGATAAGATTTCATCCAGAATTGGTATTTAATTTACCAAACTACCACCTTTATTGGATAGTTTTTTTGGAATGAATTAACCTTAATTGGATGATTTTCTGTGACTTGGAGAATGATAGATCACGCATCATAACCAAT